TATTCTTAAAATATACAGCTCTGGGGGCTGGCCCGGTGGCGCACTGCGCTAGTGTGCCACTTGGGAAGCGCGGCAGCGCTCCCGCCGAGGGTTTGGATCCCACATACAGACCGGTTCCCGCTCACTGGCTGAGCGAGGCGCGGGGGCAACGCCGAGGGTTGCGATCCCGTTGCCGGTCCCGGTCTGGTACGGGGGCGACACTGAGGGTTGCGATCCGTTGCCGGACACGGAAAAAAGACAAAAAAAAAATAAAAATAAAAATATATACAGCTCTGGCCCTGTCTGGCTTCCACAGACCTCTCCCACCCCACCACAAGCTCATACTCCTAGATACCCACTACTCTCATTTTGTTTCCCAATAGATAATGTTAACTTGTTTAGCTTGATATCTACATATGTCATTTTTTTTTTTTTTTTTTTGGTCCTTTTTGAGACCGGCCGCACCGCGCTCAGCCAGTGAGCACTGTGAGTGCACCGGTCATCCCTATATAGGATCCAAACCCATGGCAGGAGCGCTGCTGCACTCCCAGCACCGCACTCTCCCGAGTGCGCCACGGGCTCGGCTCCATATGTCATCATTTTATTTATTTATTTATTTTTCCTTTTTGTCTTTTTTCGTGACCGGCAACGGATCGCAAACCCTCGGTGTTGCATCCGCACCTCGCTCAGCCAGTGAGCGGGAACCGGTCTGTATGTGGGATCCGAACCCTCGGCAGGAGCGCCACCGCGCTTCAAAGTGGCGCACTGTAGCAGTGCGCCACCGGGCCGGCCCAATATATGTCATCATTTTAAGGAAAAATATTTTCTTCTCTATAATACCAAGTTTATGCATATTTTCCCTCCAAAGTATTTTACTCCTACTCTCTCCCACTATCTTTACCCCAATTTGAGAAGGTATTATTCCCACCTCCAATTTGGGCTTTCAGGATCGAGAGTTTTAGGATCAGTTTTTAGGATCAGTAGTTCTGTATAACAAAAGGTTTAGTAAGAATGATTGCAGGGATATGACTATGTTGGATTAAGCCTGCTTTGCTGAGGGAAAGTGAAAGAGTCTTAACCATGGTTCTCATTTTTTAAATTTACATCCAAAATTTACTTTAAAAAAAGCAAAAACAAAACAAACAAAAAACTTCATCCAGACTGAAGGCACCAGCTACAGAGGCTTGTCATGTGTTAGAGGAGAAAGCCATTACATTATAGGCATTGCAGTTTTCCTTAACATTGTTGGGGACAACCTTACTGCCGGCCATCAGGAACATCATTTAGCCTGTCCCTGATTTCTCAATAGCTGAGAGAAGTAGTAAATCGACCTAAGTAAATTTCATTGTAAGACCATAACAATCCACTTTAAAAGATTAAAAAGTTTTAAACCTCTTTGGGAGAAAAACCAAAATTATGCCAGATAAACAGAATCAAGACAAGTCATACCAAATGTATTAAGTGCAAAATTTGTGCAGATTTAACTTAATATATAAATGCATTCTTTTTTTTTTAAAGATGACCGGTAAGGGGATCTTAACCCTGACTTGGTGTTGTCAACACCATACTCTCCCAAGTGAGTCACAGGCCAGCCCTATAAATGTATGCTTCTATTCAGACATTACTGAAGTTTTTAACTTATTTAACCAATAGTCTGAAAAATGGCAGAGCATGCTAAGTAACCAGTCTTTGCTTCATCAGTGCGTTAGAAATGTATACAGCGTCCTTTATTCAAATGACCCCCGATGGAGTATTCCATTCCCAACAGGTGCAAAGGCACATGTGACAGCTAAGAAGCCAGCTGCATCTCCAGGCACTGTAAGATACTGAAAACAGCTTACAGCCTATAGCTTCGTTCTACAGCATAAGCCAAATAAAATTTAGTATTTCCCCCAAACCAGTCACAATCAGCAAAAGTGTTTACAGAAGTTTCCTCTAGTTTTTCTCGCTCTTCCTCTTTCTATAGCTAAGGTCTGAAGGGTATTCACTATATCAGAATCCAAAAATTTACCATGCAGCCCAATTAAAATACGAATATTTATCATTTACCAGCAGCATGAACCTGGTTTTGAAAATATAATGAAAAACTCCATCTTGCTAAGTGTTTGTTTTTAAAAATGAAACTATAAAATTCTATTGATCTAATTCAACATGTCTAGGTGTAAAGTATTTAAGTAATAACATCAAATAAAACCAAGAAAACATAATTTAGGGCCGGCCCGGTGGCGCACTGGAGAGTGCGCCGCTTGGGAGTGTGGCGGCGCTCCCACCGAGGGTTCGGATCCCATGTGGAGACTGGTTCCCGCTCACTGGCTGAGCGCGGTGCAGGCGCAACACCAAGGGTTGCGATCCCGTTGCTGGTCCCTGGTAGGGTGCGACACCGAGGGTTGCGATCCCGTTACCAGTCAGTAAAAAAAAAAAAAAAAAAAAAAAAAAAAAAAAAAGGGGAAAAAAAAAAAAAAAGAAAACATAATTTAGGGAAAAAAACTTGAATGAGAACACTGAGAAGTATTACTATTTTAAAAATATATACATATATCAAAACAAACCGATCAAAGAGGAGTCAGAAAAGTATTGTTTTCAATTAAAAAGAAGCAAAACAAAATATCCAAACTTTCAAATAAATCTAAAAAACCAACTGACCCTATCCCAGCCAATCTGAATGCCACTGATCATTGTTTGACTCTGTCACTGAGTTTGGCAGAACTAACCAGACATTTTCACCAGTCTCTCCTGCATGAGTAAGGGTTTCTGGCCAATAGAAGAACCCATGTGATAATCATGTGCTGCGAATTAAAAGCAGGGTTACAGCCTCTTGGAATGCAAGACCCACTTAATTTTGGCAAAACGTAGTTTTTTGGGTCAAAAGAAAAAATGCAGAAGAGCATCTCCAAGTAAATGATTCTGACAGACACAGAACAGAGACTACTGGGAGTGGCAGAGACACAGTCTCTTAAGTCTTGGGGCTTTTAAGCCTTAAATAGTACACAAATCATTTAACGACAGTATTCAAATGACAAAATTCAAACAGCCAGCAAGTTCAGGGGTAAGTCCAGAAAAATCTTTTCTGAAATTTACACTATTCGGGGAAAATTACAAAAATATACAATATAAATAAATAGGGATTCAAATTAAAAACTGACAAAGAGCTCATGTCCCCAAATTCTGAATATCTTACCAAAACAAACAAACAAGCAAAATCACAAATGAGTACATGATTCTTTTGGTCATTAAAACTAGTTCTAATTAATAAGTTACATTTGTATAATACTGCATATTTTGCATATCTATATCTCCAGCCCTGAACTCTGGATCTGAACTTACAATAAGATTACTTTCCCCTCTTTTTTTTTTTTTTTCCTTTTTGTCTTTTTTACTGACTGGTAACGGGATCGCAACCCTCGGTGTCGCGCCCACATGGGATCCAAACCCTCGGTGGGAGCGCCGCCATGCTCCCAAGCGGCGCACTCTCCAGTGCGCCACCGGGCCGGCCCTACTTTCCCCTCTTTAATGTCCACTTCAAAATCAATGTTTCAAGACAGAATTACGTTGAGCATGTCCAAAATTCTCTCTCTCCCTCTCTCTCTCTCTCTCACACACACACACACACACACACACACACACACACACACACACACACACACACACCTACACATACCTTGCTCCTCTTCCTGTGTTCTCCCATCTGTCCCCTCTGTTGTTCAAGTCAAAGACCTGAGCATCATTCTTGCTTCATCCTTCACTTATCTGATGCCTTCACAGCCATTTAATCATCAATCCACCTCCTAAATACCTCTGAAATCCATTTACTTCTTTCTATTTCCACTGCTACTTCCCTAGTTCAGGCTCCCACCCTTGTAGAGAAGAGTTCGTGCTCTGGCTTCAGTCTAACTTGCTCTGCCATGAATTAACTGGGTGGACTTGGACAAGTTACTCATCATTAGAATCCTTAAGTTTCCCAACCTAAAAAATGTAGATAATAATAATACCCACCTCACAGAGATGTTGAGGAATTTAAATGAAATAGTCAATGTAAAAGCCCTTGAAATTGCCTAAAAGCTATTAAGTATTTAATACATCACAACTATCACAATCATCTTCCTTTTGGGTGTGCAGCACAACTCCTCTGGGTTAGGTGACCCTCCTATCCTAGCACCTCTAACTCTTTTTGGTAATTGTCTTGTTTTTCTCCCAACCCAAATGTAAGCTCCTTAATAGCAAGGACTGAGTCTTTTTTCCATATGTGAATGAATGATTAATAAAACAATGAGCAATAATATATGAATATTAAAGGCTATAAAATAATAAATGATTATACGTGATTACTAAGAGCTATATACTACTGAATGTGGTATTTCTTCAGAAATCATCAATGAGAAAAAGAAACAACACATACAGATTTAAGTTGGCAAGGAATCAATAATGAAAATTATCAGTTGCCATAATATTTTGATGTGTAACATAATGAATTCAATTTTTAAGTAACTCATAAATCTTCTAGAAAGTAACTTATGTGGGCACTTCCTGATCTTAAAAAGATTCACTTTTGCTACTCAGCAATTTATTTTCCATGGCTTTGCAAACCAGAGATATTTGTTCCTCAAAACAAAGAAGCCACCCAATAGTTTCAGAACTGTGACTCATCTCTACCCTCCCACAATGACATCTTAGACTGCCCATTTATGAGAAAGACAAAGGGCATGACTCAAAATACTGAACCCACTCATTCACAAGTAGGAAGAGGAGACTCAAATGTTTCCCTTTGGGGTTGAATTAAAAAAAAATTAAAAGCAGTTAGGTGGTCCCTCTCTACTGCTTCTAGTTACAGGAAAATTACCTTTCTTTCTTAAGTAATAAAAGCAAACTCTCCTTAGTTTTTTGAGAGAACAGTTCTGATCTTATTTCAAAATTTTAAATGATATTTCTCTGACTCAAATTTCTCAACCTCCAAGAGAAGTCCCAGATGAAGGCAGAGGGTGGCCCCTCCTCTGCTCCTCTCCAGGTGAGGGGCAGCAGCATACCTGGGCTCCATAGACACGCTGCATTGCCTGGAGCAGCTGGTTGGTATAATCCGTGAGTGTGCCAGCATCTTCTTCAAATACACTCAGCAAAGAGCGGGTCTGCAAGAAAAGAAGGAAAGAGGTCACTTTTCTTTCTTTTTTTTTTTTTTTTCCTTTTTGTCTTTTTTACTGACCGGTAACGGGATCGCAACCCTCGGTGTCGCGCCCGTACCGGGGACTGGCAACGGGATCGCAACCTTCGGTGTTGCGCCCGCACCGCGCTCAGCCAGTGAGTGGCAACCAGTCTCCACATGGGATCCAAACCCCCGGCGGGAGCGCTGCCGCGCTCCCAAGCGGCGCACTCTCCAGTGCGCCAAGGGGCCTGCCCAAGGTCACTTTTATTTCTAAGTGGAAAAGTTACAAAGGAGTAGAAAACCCACCCACACAGACTGAAATGGAGGGGGAGGTGCCTGTCGGTTCTCTGGCTTTATTCTTTTATTGACAATACCAATATGAGTTTATTTCTGGAGTTTTAACTTAGAACTCCCTTTCTAATCCTTTAGACTGCAGTTCAGGGGCAAACTGAATACAATTTGAGCATCAGGCCCAGAAAAAGAAAACCAATTTTTAAAAGGTTGAGACTGAAGGGCTATTATCTGTGCTGACTTTAGCCCCTACCTGGGTGCCAGTAAAGTCCATTCAATAAAGTGTTAAAAAGAGCAGCCTCTCCCTTCAAGTCCATAAACTGCGCACAAGGTCCAGCAGTCTGTGCACTGCGGGTGTGGTCACCCGGCACTGCTGGAGTGTAATCATGCTCTTTGCTTTTGTGTAATCTTGGATGCCTTGCAGGAGTGTGTCATTCTTTCCTCTCAATTTCCACGTTTTTCATCATATTTTATTCAACCAATTTTCAAATTCATGGCCAGGAAATTTAACGTCCTCTTGAGCAAACCGGTGGTAGCTTTGGGCGCAAAACTCAAATAGCAACTTAAGAAGAATGTTAGTTCACTTATTTCAGGAAGACAAATTCCTCAGTACTCTGAGAGCAGCTGGGCAACGTCATTAGCTGCAAGTTACTTCCTATCACTTTTTTTCTTTTTGACATTTATTTGATTTCTTTTTTTTAATAACACTTTATTATTTAAAAAATTTTTTTCTTTAAGTTTGCTTATTATTTTTTTACATTCTAAGACATTGTTGCAGAGCAGTTGGGGGAAGGGGAGAGTAGAAGAAAGGAAATAGGGTGGGAGGAGAAAGATGGGGGACGTGGTTGAAGCTGGTGGCACCCCCCTCATTCCTGCACTGGAGACAAGGGGGTTTCCAGCAGTGGCTTGGTCATTGCTGGGCTGGATACAGATGTAAGCAGGGTGTGTCTGAAGCTGTCAGCCCCCCACCACCCTGGCTTGGGAGCCAGAGGCGCTTCCCAGGTGGCTCAGCGGTCATCACTGGCTGGTTGCAGGTGTTGGGGGGGGGGAGTATGGCCGAGGCCCTTGGCACCCACTGCCCTGGCTTGGGAGCCTGGGGTGCTTCCTGTGGCAGCCTGATGGTCATTGCTGGGCTGGTTTCAAATGTCGGGGGGGGAGGGCGTGGCTAAGGTCCCCAGCACTCCCTGCTTGGGAGCCCAGGGGGTTTCTGGTCCTTGCAGGTTTTATAGGTGTTCTTTGGAGGTGTTAGACCTTTACTGGTTAATATCAAACTTTGTCTCTGATCTGTGGGTGTTTTGTTTTTTCTTTCAGTTCTGTGTTGGATTATTTGCTGTTGCCACCACTTAAACTCTGCACTGGAACTAATTTGTTGTCCTTCGCTTACTTCTAAAATGGAGGAACTTCCTGTGGGGATCAACATTTGAGCCCTGTGGTTGAGCTAAATTGCTGCTTTGCTACTGATTTCCTGGGAAAGGCTTTTGGTGCAGCTCAGGTTTTAATGGTTGACCTCATATGTACTTCTTTTTTTTTTTTTTTTCCTTTTTGTCTTTTTTACTGACTGGTAACAGGATCGCAACCCTCGGTGTCGCGCCCACACCGCGCTCAGCCAGTGAGCGGGAACCGGTCTCCACATGGGATCCGAACCCTTGGCGGGAGCACCGCCGCGCTCCCAAGCGGCGCACTCTCCAGTGCGCCACCGGGCTGGCCCATGTACTTCTGAGTCTTGTGAGGTCTGATACACCTGCATTGTGTGGAAACTTTGGTCTGGGCCTGAGTCTTTTCAGCAAACTGCACCCCCCTACAGATCTGTATTCCTTACCAGTCTCCACTGAATGGTCCTGTGCTGATTGAGGGGCAGATCAGCTGTCCATGATGTGCCCCAGTGTTTCCCTGGTGGGCCCATCTACCACCCACTGCCTGCACTCCAAACACTTCCCATGGCACTGGCTGTGTGCTGATCCCTTGCAATGACTCACCAGCCTCTGAGTGGCTCCTTTTTTCAGTTGTCTGTGGCTCCTTGCTCCTATGTGGAGCCACAGGAACTCTGTTAGTGGTCTTGCTGGCCTGAGGGCCACCAAGGCCCTCTTCTCCCCTACTGCATCCAAGCATCTTTATACAAAGGGCACAGCTGTGGCTTTTGCCAGCTCTTGCTCTGTGCACTCACCAGCTCCAGCTTGGAAGTGGCTGGGATTCGAAATGGTGGGAGCGATCCTTTCTCTCTCTCATCATGGCTTCTCCTGCCTTCATGAACTCTCTAGGTCTCTACTCCTGTTCCCCTGAGCTCTAGTGGCCCCAGCTTGGCTGTTGTTGCTTTTTAATAGTTGTAACTTGGTTGATTTGTGGGAGAGAGTGACACTGGGGACTGTCTATTCTGCCATCTTGACCCACTTCCTGTCATTTTTATGCACAGTGCTTGGCACACGCTAAGCGCTGAAGATATATTTATGTATTGGATGATGTATGAACAAGTATCGAGGTGTCACATAAGAGACTCACATATCAAGGGACTTTTGTTAATGTGCCCAGCACAGTGGGAATTTAAAATATGACATTAGATTTATAATGCAGTATGGGAAGCATACTTGTAAACAAAAATATATCATAAGTAAGATAAATGCTGTAATATTTATTCAATGAATTATGAAAAATGGTACTGTGCTGTAGAAAGATATTCAAGATAATTAAATAGAAAAAGGTTACAGAGCACATGTATACTGGTTACTTAAATTTTTGTGTTTATAGAAAAAAGTATGGCAGATTAAAAACAAAGTCTTAACAGTGGTTATTCTGGGAAGGGTGAAACAACAGGCAATTTTAACTCTCTTCTTCATGCTTATCTGCATTTTCTAAAATTTCTACAGTGAACTTGATGATTTTTGTTGAGAAAAATAACTTTAAAGCCACTCCTAAAATGTTTATGAAGTATATTTAATTATGTGGAGGAATTGCTTATGATATAATGTTAAGTGAGGGGAAAAAGCAAGATACAAAATGGCATAAGTAGTACAATCTAAATTACCCATATCAAAAGAAGAGATGTGAGGGAAAAAAGCAAGATACAAAATGGCATAAGTAGTACAATCTAAATTACCCATATCAAAAGAAGAGAAGCATCTTGCTTCATCCAGGGGAAAGATTTTTGCAATAAACCTCTTTTCTTCCTTATTATTTGTCTTAAAAATGCTAAAACTGGAGATCTAATAAAGTTTCATATAGTCATTTGTAAAACAAAATAAATAAATAAAATAAGACATTAGCAATAATGGGATCTCTACTTCAGAAAATAACCCATTAGGCAAAGAATGGAGAGTATGTTACAGAAATACTTTTAATCAGGTGACATGGTAGCACTTTACAAAGAACAATTCATTAAAGCACACTATTTCCCTGCAGATGAATTTCAATTCCATCTTTCTTTTTCTAACCTACCCCAGGTAAGAGAGCAATAACTGACTCCAAAGCACTCTCAATAAACTGGAACTGGAACCTAAACACTGTGATTGTTAACCTCCCACCACACACATTCTACCCTTGACTTTGATCCCCAAACTCTGGTGCACTTCACAGCAGTGCGTGATTATTTACTTTGCCTGGATCGTCCAAGCTAAAAATACCTTTCCCAAGACCAATGTACTCTCTTCAGTACTAATCCTTATCAACAGAAGAACCTTAGTGCAATGAATAAGAAAACTTGAAACATAACTTTTTTTTTCACAGCTGGCTAGTATGGGCATCTGAACCTTCGACCGTGGTGTTATAACGCCCCACTCTAACCAACTGAGGTCACCAACCAGCCAATAATTTTTTAAAAAGCTCTCAGTGAGAGCAAAACAATATAATAGAGCTCATACAGTGTATGACTCGTGTGTTAGAAGAGTTCTCCAAACTTTTAAAAATTAAAATCCACAGTATGAAATACATTTTGCATCAGGACCTGAACAAAGGTTTTACCAAACACTATTTATCAATACTATGCATACACACTCTGATTTTCTTCCATTCTATTCCATCCCATCCTGTCCTATCCTATCCCATCTGTCAAAAAAAAAAAAAAATCATGGCTGTGACCCACTGCATTTCATAATCCGCTAATGGATGTCAACTAATAGGTAAAAAAACACTGATTTAGAATTATTACATCTCTTGAAAATATAATTTTTATTTGGAGAAAAATTACTGTAAAAGACATTCTCAGAACATACACTGGGTAGTCTGTCATTCAACATTCATTCATCCATGCCTGCCTCCCTGCCATCATCACCAAGTCTACTGAAAGGGAAAATGTGCTACAAACAAAAACAACAATGAGACAAAACCTCTCCAAAATGGAGGTATTCAAAACCGTCCAGGTTGTTTTGAGGCATCTCACTTGAGTAAAGAAAGGCCTGGTTTCGTTGGAGAGGAATGTTCACAGCTGGGCCACTCACTGCTTAATCTCACAAATAAGTCTTTCATTTCTGTTATGCCAACTGCCAAAGAAACAAAATACAAAACATCAAAAAATGCAAGCAACAGTGCTTCTGTCTTTACCTTATCTCAAAAGTGTACTCCTTACAGAACAAGCCCCTGAAGAAGTACAAACTGCAGGCGATCAAGGCTGGTTTGTGTTCCCACCACAGCAGTATCCACACTGTACTGGAACTGCTCCTTACTTATCTGTCTCTGGAACAGACTGTGAACCAGTCAAGGGCAGGCACTCACCTTACTCATCACCACATTCCCAGCAGCTAGCAGCACCTGGCAAGGAGCAGAGGCTCACAAACAGCAACAGAGGCAAATACGTTAATCCCTGAAACAAACTGCCTCTCATATATCAGAGGCGAGCAGAGATAATACATGTGTATGCACATAGGCTAGTTTCACAACACATCACACAGTACTGCAAACTAAAGAGGAGGAAATGAACAGATGTGTCTAAGGTCAGTCAACTGCTATTTAGCTGTTCTTGGGTCACTTGGTTCAAATACAAAAGCTTTTGTATTCATTTAAGTAATCCTGTGCAACTAGGTTACTGAAGCAACTCTCATAACTTCTCTATATAAAACTAGAGGAAACAAACAATAGATGGTTTCTTAGGATCTTTTCTGTTTAATGAAACATTTTAGGTCAGTAATAACAGAAAAGCCAGGTGCTGGGTAACTAAGCTAACTTGTGCAATATCCCTAGTATAGGCAGGTTGCCTGGGTTCCAATCCTGGCTGTCACTTTATAGTGTATAATCTTAAGTGAGTTATTTAACCTCTCTGCTCCTTGGTTATTTTAATAGAGGACCTGCTTCAGAAGACTGTTGGGAAATTAAGTGACTTAATACATGTAAAGCACTTAGAACAGTGCCTGGCACATAAAATGCATGATATAGGCATTTGCTGTTGTTTTTATTCTTTCTGCATAAAAAGGAGTTGGATTAGTTTCTTTTCAGTTCCAAGTCATGAATCTCCTTAGGAACAGAGCTGTATTAGGCACGTCACATACATGAGAGTGCTAAATAAAATATGCTCTGATGACTATTAACAACCTTAAAGTTAGCTTCCATTCTGTACAACCTCATCGAGAACCCTTGTGGGGTGGTAGCCAAGTCTCAAAAGCAATGACGGATAAAATGCCTACACTAAAAGGAACATTCTATAGGAATGACAATGCCTCTAAATGTCCTCTTCCACATACAAGCTCAAAGTTATAAACCACGTACATAAGACAGAACTGTAAGCTTCTAAAGCATCTTGAAAATCATCTGTCCTTGTCCATTCTTCTGTAGATGTTCTTCGGATGAGAAAACAGCCAGCCACCGGGTGGGCATTGGACTCACCCAAATCCTATGATAGGTTAGTGTTAGAGCCAGAATTAGAACCCAGGTCTCCTGCCTTGTTTTTCAGTCCTCTTTCTACTTGCTCACAGCTGAGCGAATCCTCTAAGCCACTCAGAAATAGTGTATGTTCATTTATGTGAGAGCCGAACATTCAGAACGTGATTTGTCAGTGAGGACAACATGGAGAATCAGTTAGTGCAACTTTTCCAACCTGGCTTGTCACCGTGTGGGTCAGGAAAGTAATTTATCTTTGTGCACCTCAGTTTCCACAATTACAAGGCAAACAGAGATCCTCATTCAAAGTGATTGTTAGGGGCTGGCCCATGGCTCACTCGGGAGAATGTGGTGCTGATAACACCAAGGCCATGGGTTTGGATTCTATATAGGGATGGCCGGTTCGCTCACTGGCTGAGCGTGGTGCTGACAACACCAAGCCAAGGGTTAAGATCCTCTTACCGGTCATCTTTTTTTTTTACAATAAACAAACAAACAAACAAAAAAACCAAAAAAACCCCAAAAAACCCCCACAAAATGATCGTTAGAAATTCTGCATTATCTTCAGATGCCACACAACAGGTGTGAGCATGAATGAAATGTATTCTACCAAGGGCTTTAGTCGGATTAAAACACCAGAAGTCTAGAGCTGTAGAAAAGAGGCCTTGAGGGCCGGCCCGGTGGCGCACTGCTACAGTGCGCCGCTTGAGAGTGTGGCGGCGCTCCCGCCGAGGGTTCGGATCCCACATACAGACCAGCCGCTCACTGGCTGAGCGCGGTGTGGGCGCAACACCGAGGGTTGCGATCCCGATGCCGGTCCTGGTCCGGTCCGGGGGCGACACTGAGGGTTGCGATCCGTTGCCGGTCACGAAAAAAGACAAAAAGGAAAAAAAAAAAAAAAAGAAAGAAAAGAGGCCTTGAAAATCAGGCCAGTGGATGCAAATTTACCAAAACATAAAAAGTCATAGCTTGCTTATGGTTCCTTACCTGCCTATACACAAGGAGGTTCATAAAGAAATAGGCACAAGACACCTAAGCACACAGCCCTTCTGACCACATATTCTCAACTGGAGAGATGCAGAGTGGGTGTAGGTAAGTCCATCAAAGGCTCATCCTGAGAGGTACAATTCAGTCAGGGGAAAAGAGAAGGAACCCCCAAAGAGAGGTGAAACTGTGAAAGGAAAGCCGCTTAATCTTATTCTAATTTTTAAAGAGTTGAGACAGTAGGGAATGAAGACACTTATTTAAATAACCCAGGGATGTGAAATCAGGAGTGTGGATATGAAGCTGGGGAAATATTAGAAGAAAAGTTCCCTGGGGAAAGGTGCACTGAATTAGGAACTAATGAACTAATGTCATTCTGCATTCATTTGCTATATTTACACGCTGATTTTCATCTGCAGAGCTCAAAGGACTTGACTCTCACCGCGAGTCTGCTAATGAAGTTCCCCTGTGCTACAACGGGACAGGGATTGTAATTTCCTCTTCACAAATGGGAAAACAGTGTCAAAGGGAAGCCTAGTACCGCTGAGAAAGAGATCCAAGCCCTCTGCCTGCCGTCCTGGCCCAGGTCTCATCATGTCAGTAGTAGCAGTAGTAACAGCAACCATAGTGATGATACTGAGATTGGCTCCTCACTCGGTGCCACACATTTTCTCATTTAATGCTCCTAACAACCCTACGAGGCAGGTACAATTATCATCCTTATTTTAAAGATGACAAAACGAAGCCACAAAAAGGTGAAGTCATTCGCCCGGGGCACTCAGTAAATGAGCGATGGAGCCAGTGTTTCGATCCGGCAGCCTCAGTTTCGGCTGAGTCTGGAGTGGGGTCACGACACCACACTCCGGCCACAGGGGGCTTTCCCGGGTTCCCCAGCTCTGCCGGGGCCCAGGACGCAGGGCCGGCCCGCCCCCTCCTCGGCGCCGACGAACCCCGGAGGAAGGTGCCCCCGAGGGGACCCTGGGTCCTCTACCGCAGGTGCCCCGGGGGGGACGCGGCCTCGACGCCGGGGCTGGAAGGGCCCCCTCGGCCTCACCCCTGCGGGCGAGGGGGCCGGGG